GCCATGAGTATCGATGCGTGTGGGAAAGGTTTCTACTTTGATAGCTATGGTCAAAGGCCCAACGTGCCACTGCACGAAAGATTCCTCTCTCGCGTTTGTAAATCTTGGACATATAATCATGTAGACCTGCAGGCGCTCGACTCGTCCGTGTGCGGACAATATTGTTGCATGTATCTACTCTTTAAGTCGCATGGTTTCACCATGACCGATTTTGTGAAATGCTTTTCAAACGACTGCGCGCAAAACGATGCACGCGTCGAAAAAATGTACCAACGCTACTCTAGAAATGTCAAACTATGCGACGATGTCAATGTAAAAACAATTGTACAAAAATGCTGCAAGCGATGTAAGAAATAAACATTTACTCATCTGATTTGATTTGTTTTGTCGATTTTATTTTTTATTCCTTCAAGACAAAAATACACGCAATACACCGCGTATATGCTCACGACATATAACACATTTCTGAACAACTTGGCCACAATTGATACAAGTGGCAAAGTGTCGGCACGGCAAAAACACAATCCCAACATCCTCACTCAAACATATTTTACATTTCAGTTTGTCATCCTCTTCAGCAGGAGATTCCTCTTCTTTCTCCACGACACTGCTTTCGTCTTTGCATGCTGCGGCACGGATGTCCTACGAGAAAATAAATACCCAAAAAATGATTCGCACATATTTTTTTCACATTTCACAAAAAGCAAAAGAAAAAAATACACACCTCGGGACTCATTGTCGCCGGCCTCTCGCCCTGCACGAGCCTCACGAACTCGGTTCCTTTCATCTCCTTCACATATCTACACTTTGAAAAATAGAATGCATGCTCTACCCATCCGTCGTCGCCCTTCTTCCAGTCTCTTAGTCCGCCTCCACACGAAAAACAAAGGACCTTGTCTTCAATATTTGTAAAGAAAAATCCTGCAGAGGCCAATCGTGCTGCACTCACTTTGTCCTCATGACTCCATCGGGCAAAGGACTCTTCTCTGCTTTTCAACGTCTCATAAGCGGGGTGAGCATATTTACTCACGCTCTCCACATCCTTCATCACAGGAGTATTGTCACTCTTCCTTGGAGCCTCAGGGGATGCAGGAGGGTCTGGTGTAACATCGACATCACTCGACAAAACATCAGCCGTGCCACGAAGCTCTGCCTCCAGCGCTCGCCACGATTCTAACATCAAGTCTTGCACACGCTCGGAATAGGGTCTCAGAGCTTGCAAGAAGGTACTTCGACGGTAGTTGGGACGCACAGCCCATATGACCTCATAGGGCCTAACATTAACGCCGGGCGTGCCGGGGCTGCGCAAGGCCTCCATGTCAGACATCCCGAGGCCCGCAGTGCCGGAGAAGCGCTCCTTTCGGCTGCACTGCCCACACTCAAATAACTCGAGAGAGTCCTCCAATTCCCCCTCCGCCACCTCCGAACACAGCCGAGCGAGCCCGACGGCCGAGCGGGCCCAGCAGACGAGAGACAGACAGACTACCGATTCAAATTTTCGCGCCACTACCCGAGCCGCGCCGAGCAGCGCCAGCCGCCCGAGCCGAACACTCGAAGGCGGGGCCGACAGCCCCCTTCCACCCGA